AACTTACAATGTATCAAATACAATTATATTTGTTTTTTGCCTTCGGAGACGAAGTCTGCCGAAGGCTTATAGATTGGCTTCCGTCCGCCCGTTCTTCCGTCTTCCCGTCCGTTCTTTTACCTATTATAACTTTGATATGCTCTGTGCAATGTGTTTTCAAGCTGGTGCATATGTAATTCTCAATGCCATACATATGCACGCCAAGTATTTTTTTGATTCGCCAAAGTTTCACTGTGTTTTTCTGTGATTTTCAACATTTCACTAGTAAAAATGCCGAAATTTGTCGGAAAAATCTGAGTTTTAACGACATCTCGCAAGAGAACTGGCATACCGTATTGCGCATGCGCCAGTCTAAGGAAATCGGTGTCGTTTTCGTCTGAGGATATTGTATTCCGGGACTGTATCTTTCTTTGCTCAAGGCTTATATAGATTAAATTCTATCTCAAAGGTAAGAAACTGTGCTTATAGTATTTATTATGAACTTTGATTTATCCTTTTGTGTCCTGATTTTGGTGAGAAACTATCGATCGCACAGTGTCACACTTTGCCAGAAAAACAGTTCTATTAGTCCAAGAACTGGTTATGAAACGTGTAAATCGAAAGTTTATCTCGTCATTTCGGAGGCTTGGAAATAACGTTTGGCATATAAAATACTGGAATAATAAAAACGTAAAAGTTTAGAACACGTTGATCGTGATTCTGTTATGCACGATTGCTATTTCCAGTGTTCAACTGCTAGCAGATTGAAAGGAAGTGTGAAACTTCGTTTCGTGACGACATATTAGACTAGAATTATCGAGAAAACATAACTCAAGTTCGGCCAACCGTGACTGCTTGAAAGCAATGATGAAATTGAGAAGTACTATAATTCAATATCAATGAATATATCTATCATCACTTTTAAATTAACGGGATATACTATACTGGGACCTCCATGCAGGGACTTATCAGTGTTTAAGTTTATTGGTAAATCGAACCTCTGTTAACAGGGACACATTTTCCCAATCAGCTATGTATTTCGGTACTGAAGTCAGGGTGGTAATTTCAATGTTTAGCTACCATAATTTATCTCCATTATGAGCAGGAAATTACCGACCTCGATTGAGGTGGATTTAACGGCGGCCATGTTTTTATTGTTGACAATGTGCATTATGCAAATTACCAGCACACGTGCGAAACTATTAAGGGATATGTGAAACAAAATTAGGGAGGGGGTCAAATTGTATTTTTCTCAATAGTTTTTTTTTTAATTTATTTTGATAGTTTGGCATCGATTTGGTTCAGCTCAAGTGAAATTTGTTTGCATATCTTTGGTCAGATTTTAATGACATTGAAAACACAAGTACTCTGGCTTTTTGCACATTCTTAATATTGTATACTTGCAGAATCCTGTGAATATTAATTTGACAACTTTGTAGAGTGAAAACAGACTGGTAAATTAGTTCATCCTAGACTATGGTAGAACATGTTTAAAATAGTACAGTGTGAACTGCAATTTCTTTCTGGCTGGTATAAATTAAGTAAATAAATATTTTGTCGTACTAAAAAGACTCAACTATCTTTTTTAATTAAATCTAACTGCCAAAGGGAGCACATATTCTACAACCTCTACTTACTTTGGACTAAATGTTTTTTTGTTTTTTTGTTTTTTTTTCAGGTGCAGAGCCAGAATTTTTTTCTCAGAAAGCAAAGCCACTGGAACTGCATGTATTACAAAAACATACCGGTACTATTCGCTGCGTGTCTGACAATTGTATAAAGTTTCGCAGGTCTTTTTTTTACTCTGAGAAGTGCTGTCAACCAAAGCATAAATATGTGTTTCTCAGTACATAAAATTTCACACGATTTGTTAATATTAATGTATGATAATAAAAACTTGATAATATTTTTCCGGATTTTTGCACTTTATTTGTATCATTGTCGTATGAGAAGTAATCTTGTCCTTATTAAAAATATTGAAACTAATCCAGGGCCACAAACTAGTTTATCCAAACAGACACAACACTGACTCTACATATTTGCAGATCTGATTTGTAAACTTCCTTGTTATTTTACCTGTTGCACTAGTTCTGGTTTCCTTGCTGAGAATAATGCTGACCTGGATGGAGAGTGCTATAAACTTGAAAATGCCATAGAAATCACATTTGCCAATTTATGTCCATGCAGTTTTAGAATGACAACTAGCAAAGGATATGTCATTCATGACTTGTTAATAATTAACGCTAATCATTGACAGAAGTATGTCTGTGGTAAAATAAGTTGTAAGTTAATGATCCAGTAAGCAATAAATGGTTGTCTACAGGAACGGACTGGGACCAAAAAACGGCCCTGGACTTTCCCGGTAACAGGCTCATCAAAAAAATAGAGGGAGCAGTCATTCTGAATGTTGGCTAATAATGTTTGGTTATAACAATTAGTGCTGAGGCTGAAGTCCATATACTGGATGGCCGTTCTAGAACGCACAGGTTATCAGTTCGCTACTGGTTGTCTATATGCACATCTATTGGAGATGTGCTTATATTCGAGCTAAATGTGGTTCAAATAAGTATGTGAGTATGGGGGGAGTATGCTGGTTCGAACTCACAATATTGGTATGCTGATGGGTTTTAAATATGATCATATTTAGGTACAAGCAAGTCTACGTTATTCAATTTCATATGGTGAGCTACCTATAATCGCCTAACATTCCTTTTCAGGTATCCGCCTACACTAGTGTCGGGGAAGGTGAATACAGTGATGAAATGAATACAAAGACAACAGAAACAAGTATGTTATGTATCTTAACTATTTACTTTACCTAGTACATGTGTGTTATTTGTTGCAAATATTATATGCAAATTATATCATATGTTATAGTTCCTCATGAACCTGCCAGCATTGATGTACAAAGTACGACTGAAAACAGCATCAGATTCACATGGACAGATCCTACCATATTCAGTGGTGATATTTTACAGCATAGTGTAAGTAGTATTAAAGTTTTTATAGATTCACCTATTCAGTGCACTTGATTAGAGTCAGCTATACATCTTGCTACTTGTTATATCCCATTTACATTCCGGTATACAGTTGAGGACAGCATTTGCAGATTTGGAGAATTTGGGTTTATATTTAAGTTGCTGTACATCGTAGTACTTTCAACAGAGAGATTTATGCCAACAGTATATTATCACCACCACCAATTTGAGATGACAAAAAAATAACTGTAAACTTCCAGGTATATGAAAGTTCTATTTTCTCCCTGGTGTGACATTTATTCACCTTGACTACATCTTAGTTGCAAATAATAATTCTTTATTATTTTCACTATGTAATAGATAACATATAAATCAACTGAGTCTGTGTACTCAACTACCGTGTTGGAGTCTAAGGATATACTTATTGAGGGCAGTATTCATACGCACACTTTAGAAGAATTACCACCAGGAACACAATTTCAAATATCAGTGAGTGCAAGTACATCAAAGGGATTTGGTAAACCTAAATCAATTATCTCTGGAACTAAAATTGGTAAGTTATGTTGTATGATTAAGTCATAATGATTGATGTGAATGACAACTGAAAAAAAAATCTGAACTAAATGCCTTTATTTACAAATTACAATCATGATGATACTGATGATAGCGTGAGGCATGACATCAATTTCATTCTGACAAATAGCATCTCTCCTCATCTTAGAACATTAAACTCAATAATTTCTAAAAACTAAAAAAACTAATGATTTGCATCATTTGATAAGCCAAAAATCTATATTGGTAAAGAAATGGTGGGACAATTAAACAATAATTACATGTAAGTGAGTTATTATTCCAACAAGAAAACATGAGTTGATCATGATCAAGTTGTGATCTGTTTAAATCACTAATCGTCAATTTAAAGTAACTGTAAACCATTTAGGATAATATAATGAATATTATAGTGACATTGATAATAACTGTACGTTTAGGTCTTGAGGTTTCTGGTATTCTGGAGGAGCCTCATGTGACAAATGAACCAGTATTCACGGAAACCACTGCTACCATAGATTTCAGAAAATCGAGGTCAAATACAGACATAAAGACTGATACAGAACTTTTGTAAGTATGATAATATGTTACAGACATTTTCAGCAGTACACAGATGCTATGCATCATATAGATCAATAATGCACCTCAAAGAGAGAGATAATAAGAGGTTAGTTGTGGCTAGTATTAGAACATCCTATTGTAATGATTACATAAGTTTCAAAGTGAATGGTGGTTGGAGAAAAAGAATAGCTATTAATTAGCAGTTAATAGGACATAAAAGCGTCAATATTAAACAAATTGTGTTCAATTCTGCTTTGTTTTGATAAACAAGAGCTAAAATATGCGACATATTTATCATCCACCCATCTAGGTAGCAACAGCAGAAAAAAACTA